TGACTTCATTGAGTCCAGCTGTCTCCTGACTTGGAGGTTAAAATTACAGCTGCTACTATCCATCTTGTTAGGCAATGAGTCTTCCAGCTTCCAATACAATTTTTCCTTAGGAATCTGATATCTGATTCTATCAGAAGGCTTACTGAATCTGATTTTAATTATTAGACTATCAAGATTCCACTGGGTTTATTTAGTCAAAATAATTAGTTTTTAAGTCTCTCAGTTTCTTTCTAATTACATAATTTTGTCTTCATCTTATTTTCAAGTTTTTTTTTGTGTGTGTGTGTTTGTGTGTGTGTGTGTGTGTGTGTGTGTGTGTGTGTGTGTGTGTGTGTGACTCTGGTATTAGGCTTGAACTTAAGGCCTCATGCTCTCAAATACCTTTTTCTGTTGATGGTTGGTATTCTACTACTTCAGCTATATCTATAGTTTCTGGGTTTTTGCTGATTATTTCAAGATTAAAAATTTCTTAGATTTGTTTTCCAGACTAGTTTTGAAACACAATCCTCAGCTCTCAACATCCTGAGTAGTGATGATTACAGGCACAAGGCACCAGCACCCAGCTTTTGCTAGTTTTGTTTAACAAAGAAAGTCTGTCATGTGAGACTTCAAGAATGCCTTTTGTCTAATTCACATAGCTCAATTTATGTGTTGTGACCCAACTTCTAGAGTGGAAATCAATATTCTTTTTCATGTTTTAATCATTCATTCATAGATAGGTTGTCAGATAGATGCAGATATTAGAAAAAATCCCACACACAAATGAGCTGAGGTTGAACTTAATAATGATCCCTTAAATGTGTTATAAAATATTTTCATGCTAAAAGCAAATTTAATCAACAAAAGCAAATTTGTCAACAATTAGGAAGTAAACTCTGGCTATTTGAAACTGTAACTTTATGCTAAGATATAAAAAGTAACTCACTTGTTTTGAATTTTATATAATTCTGCTTAGCAACACAGTGTTAAAGAAATAAATAATCCATCTCTTCTTTCAAACTTTGAGAGAATTGATGGGAGGGGGAAAATAGGAAAGAACAATGAAGGGAATGACATTGATCAAGAAGCATTATAGTGATAACCTGATTATGGACTTGTGATCACTTTGTACAATTACTAGATAATACAATTTTAAAAATAGATTTCATTAAGTGCTAAGAAAAGTGTATATTAAAATAACTTGGTTGTTCTATTCATTATAAATCTGTCATTTCACTTGACATAATCATAAAAGTAGCTCTTTTATAAAATTAATAAAATATTTCAAATGGGATATTTAAAATATGTGTAATAGTAAAGTAGCTATTTTAGTTTGGTAGGCTATAATTTTTCCTTTGTGATTGGATGATACTCTTTTTTAAACTATCATCATCTTTAATATTTTACAACTGTGAATAGAAAATTAACATCCAGGTTTATTCAAGAAATGTCTCTAAAGGATGGCTTGAGAATCATAATTCATCCAAATCTTTCTCCCTTCTTTCCTTTATGATTGTTTCTTCCTCCCTCTCTCTTCTCCTCCTCCTTCTCCCTTCTTCTCCTTTCTCTCCTTTCCAATTCCTTCCCTGCCTGTCCCTCTTGCTTTTGCATTTGACTTTTAATCAATTCTCCTCTCTCCATCAAGCTTTTTATTGTTGGTATTTCACCTAATAGAATACTTACAGTGTCTAAAACCATACTTATTTTCCAAAATAGAATGACATATTAATTTAGCAGTAAAATGTATAGAACTGAATCAAAGATTAAAATTGTATAGCACTGCTCTTTGTAAAGTGGATGAGGCAATTTAAGTGTCTTGCATAACAAGCTGGTCAGACCAAACTGAGAAAGCAGCTTTCGTGCATCCCAAAGTTGAATGCTGTCTGGGAAGTTCTTATATTAATCCTATGAATGGCTTCAACTATATGGTAGACTTGGTGAGGATTAGTTACATCACTTAACTACAATTTTTTAAAAAAACAATTGCATTGTTATTTTTAAAAATTTTACTGAATATTCTATGCCATATATGCACGGCTTGCTGCAGTTAATGACAAATTAACAATGAATGATGTTAAAGCTAAGTACTCAAGATCATGTCTTATTAGAAAGACTAGAATTTCTATACAACTTGACAATAGTAACAATCAAATAAATGCAGCATGTTTTGGTCATTTCTCCTTTAGGGTATTATTTCAAAATATGAGAAAAAAGTAATGTTTATAAACACCAGTTGATTAACTTTGATTCATATGCTAAATTCATTTACAACTACAACTACTATTTTCTCCTACATATCATTATATCCACAATTGAAGGAGGTATCACAAAGTTGCAAAGAAAATATATGATCAATGTAGTTACAATGAGAAAAAGTACCAATAACCTTCCCGATATATTACAACAATTTTGTCTATATACACACACATATACACATGTGTGTACATATATATACACACATATATGTATTTCAGTTAAGAGAACATGATGAGATCAAAATAACTTTTCTTTATATACAGGTTAAAGCTATCCCAAGTGAGAACTCATTTTCTTATTTCCAATATGTTTTTATAGGGAACTTAACATAATTCCTAAGACTACTGAAAAATAGAATAGATATTTGAAAGATCTTTGCTCTATCTATCAATCAATCAGTCTATCTATCTGTCTATCATCTATCTATCCGTTACTATATAATTAGTATTTTCACTTAGATACTGTTTACTTCAAACAACAACGAAAGCCAACAGATACACTGGAAGGTGATGGCTCATGCTTATAATCTTAGCTATTTCAGAGGTTAAGATGTGAAGGACTGAGGTTCAAAGCTAGCCTGGGCAAAAAAGTTCACTAAACTCTATTTCCCAAATAACTAGTGAAAAGCCATGCTGGAGGCAAGGCTCCAATAATATAGCACAAGCCAAGTAAGCAAGTCCAGTATTCATGAGGCCATTGATTTCAAACATTTGTACTGGCAGAAAGTAAATAAACAAATGATTAATAAGTAATTTACAAATAAGTAAATATTGCTTCTATTTCTTATATGTTCTACATTGGAATTTTGACTGTTAATGATCAATAATTTGATTTATGCAAAATATTAAACTTAAAAAAGTAATAAATACATATTTTACTTTTAAAATTTTGCATTTACAACTTGTTTAGTTTTTATATCTCATGAAGATGTATATTTTCATTTCCCGAACCAGAACAAATTAGCTCTCATTTCTGTCTGGCTGAGTTATATATACAAAATGGGATAGCTCTAATGCAGTCTGAGTTATTGGTAATGCTATGTTTTTCAAAGGCCTCACTGACAATCAAACTTTATCTTTCCATTGACTCAATTTCAGATGAGGAGTAAGAAAGAAACAAAAAGATACAAAAATTATTTCAAAAGAAGTCCTCCTTAAATCGGGTCGCATGGAGCAAAAGTATATGGAGTGAGGTGAAATGAGAGCATGGTGCAGGGTGTGATGGGACACTTACTGTTCATTTACTTACAATTTCTTCATTCTTTCAAATAATAGTTTTTAATTCTCTAGTCTTTTGTTCATCAGATCTAAAATCTTTAGAGTAGAAGATTTATCATTGATAAAAATTACTTATAAGTCTTTTTTAAAAACCAAAGGCCTGTTCAATGTCGTAGAGTGTAATTCTGTTTCTGTGATTCTAGTCAGAGACAGGTGCTACACAGATTAATGATAGAGAGAGAGCCTTGAACCTGGTTGGCCAATTCATTGGAGTGAGCTGAGGAACTGATGGATCCCAAGACCACTTCCCTCACTTGCTTTTACTTGGCTCTGACTCAGTTCACCATTGACAAAATCCTGAAGACAACCTGAACCTAGGTGGTAGGATATGTGTTTGAAAATGGTACCTTGATGAAGGGAATGGTGCATTAACTGATTGTAGTTAGAAGTTGCATGAGAATAATTGGGCACAGAACAGAACTACATTATGTTAGCTAAAGATGAGGTAAAAGTAGTAAAGTTGGTCACACTGAGGGAACAGAAATCTGAGAGAAAAAAAATTATTGTCCAATGTATTCTGTTATCTGGGTGTTCCTCGTAGGTACTGAGAGAATGGGAAGAAGAATGCAAGCTAAAGAAATTAACACACAGGTCATCTATGCATTGCTGGAGGGCAAAGAAGAAATTAGCTAGAGCAGGCAAAACAAGCAGGTTGATGCAATCTGTGGCTTTAGTAGGACTTTGAATGGAACCAATTACGGAGGTGGGTTGAGGGATTTGAAATAAAAACTGAACTGTGACTCTGATAATTCTGCTTATGAGAAAGATTTTTGTGCCCCCAATTTCTAAAATTAATTATTATGGATCTTAAAGCCAAAAGGTTTTCCAGCTGCCAAGTAACCTAAAGATATTACGAAGGTCAATATAATTAAAATGCTAAAAGTCAACACACATCTTTTCTCTTTCTTAGATCATGTGCTCATGTGCACAGCAGCCCCCTAAACCATTGGTAATTTACAAGTGTTTTCATATATGCTGAATAGAGCCACTTCCCTAAGTTCTAATCTTGATAAATAGGTTGGCTCTTGGAGAAAAGAATAGATTTAATGACTATCGACTCAGGGAGCGACTGTGGATTTCCTTGGAAATTGTGTGATCAATTTGGGAGACCAGAGAAGGGGAAAATAATGAACTCTAAAGCTGAACAATTTATGTAGATGATATAATATTCTTGGAATGGGGCCATTTTACTTCGGGTTCGGAATGCACACAGTTTGAGGAATCAGCTCTTTCATCTCATAAAAAGAGGCCAAGTATAGCCTGCATAGACGGTGAAGCCATCTGAAGTGTTTAATGACCACGAGGGCCTCTCTGTGTCAAGAGACGGCAGATTTATGAAAGATAATACCTACAGTGACACGCAAGGAGGGTGTGCCAGGACTCGTCACCTGCTCCAACCAGGATATATAAGCCTGTCTGTACACACAGTGACATTCATACTCAGCATCTTCCTGTGAACATCAAGCCAAATTCACCTCCACTGATACCATGAGCTACTATGGCAGCTACTACGGAGGCCTGGGCTATGGCCTTGGCTGTGGATGCCACAGCTTTGGCAGGCTGGGCTGGGGCTCTGGCTACGGCTATGGTTCTGGATTTGGGGGCTGTGGTTACGGTTCTGGACTTGGGCGTTGGGGCTATGGCTCTGGATTTGGGGGTTATGGCTATGGTTCTGGGTTTGGGGGTTATGGCCATGGGTCTGGATTTGGAAACTACGGCTGTGGGTACCGCCGCCCTTCCTGCTACGGGGGATATGGCTACTCCAGCGTCTACTGAAATCCTCTCCTGGGGAACCGACATCTAAGACATAAGAAGATGGACCCAGCTGGACTGCAATACTCTGCACCAGGCCAAGGGGAAGTACGTTGACCATCTACAATTTCAGGCGTATTTATCATCTTAGACTTGTGTGCCTCATGCCTCCGGAGTCCCCAATCTCTGCACTTCCATAAATGTAGACTTAGTTGGTGCCCATTTGCAATAAATCATGCTAACGAAACAACATATGTGGCTGTTATTTTTTTTTAATTTATTAGTTAATACACAGGTAAATTTGACTCAGTGCTTGCTCTAATACTACCTTGGTTAGGAAAGAAACTACACATCATGAAATCAAGTTTGGGGGAAAGATAAACATATTTGTCCTGGGTGCCAGTGGCTCATGCCTATAATCCTAGCTTCTCAGGAGGCTGAGATCTGAGGACCATGGTTTGAATCTAACCTAGGCAGAAAACATTCATGTGACAGTTATCTCTAATTCATCAGCAAAAAGCCAAAAGTGGAGCTCTGGCTTAAGTGGTAGAGCATTGACCTTGAGCACAAGTTTAAGAACAGTGCTCAGGGGGCTGGGAAGGTGGCTCAGTGGTAGAGCGCTTGCCTTGCATGCATAAGGCCCTGGGTTTGATTGATCAGCACCACATAAGCAAAAAGAAAAAAGCCGGAAGTGGTGCTGTGGCTCAAGTAGTAGAGCGCTAGCCTTGAGCTGAAGAGCTGAGGGACAGCGTCCAAGCCCAGAGTTCAGGCCCCACGGCCGGACCCCGTCCCCCCCCCAAAAAAAAGAACAGTGCTCAGGCTCTGAGTTCAAGCCCCAGGATTGCTTAATAAGATATATTTATGAAGTGGAGCTATAGCTCAAGTGGTAGAGCGCTAGCCTTGAGCTGAAGAGCTGAGGGACAGCGCCCAGGCCCAGAGTTCAAGCCCCACGACTGACAAAAAAAAAAATATATATATATATATATATATATATTTATGAATCTATACCAGAAGTCATCTCTGTTCACTTCTTACTGTGATGGCATTCTTTCACGTAATTAGCTTTTTGTATAGTTTTGTACCTCATTGTCCTCACATACGAAGTTGTGTGCCTGAGGTTGTGGCTGGCTGGCAGCTATATGTATTTAATCAAGTTTCTTAGAATGCTGACCCTCTTTTGATCACCAACCAGTTAAAGTGGGCAATTTCAAATCTATTAGTTATTTGCTATAAGTCATAAGGAACAATTCATCACTATTCCTCTGAAAAAAAAACACAATAATTTCATACTCTGGCACCGAAACAAATCAAGTTTCTATTCCTTGAGTTAGCCAAATTCAGGAATACCAAGGCAATACATAATGTAGGACTGAGGTTCTGGAGCTGGCTGCCGTATACAAAGCAATATTGATTTAACCACCATCGTGGATAGGAAGGAATATTCAAAGATGAAATAATTTGCCAAAGATCCAAACTGGCAAAGAAGTTAACTCCTGGGGGCTCTCAACTATGAACACCAGGCATTGTGTTTGTCCACAGGCACAGTGTAGTTCTCTTTTCAAATGTAGTTAAATGAAACACCTTGAAAGTTATGGTCATGGGTTTATCTGAAGAATCTAAGAATCACACCAGTTCATTACATATTTGGAATTTCAAACATTTCCTTATAAAACAATGCATTTAAAATTTATCTGGAGTGTATAATCCTAGCTGCTCAGGAGGATGAGATCTGAGGTTCACGATTCAAAGGCAACCCTGGTCAGGAAAGTCTGTGAAACTCTTATCTCCAATAAACCATCAGAAAACCAGAAGTGGCGCTGTAGCTCAAGTGGTAGAGCGCTAGCTTTGAGCTGAAGAGCTGAGGGATAGCACTCAGGCCCAGAGTTCAGGCCCCACAACTGGCAAAATTAAAAAATAAAAAAATAAGTAATCACAATACCACACCAGTAGATTATTCTTAAAAGTTAACACAATGCATTTGAAAGACTTCAACTATGGATAGATTCATTTGTGTGTGTGTGTGTGTGTGTGTGTGTGTGTGTGTGGTTTTGGTTCTGGAGCTGGAACTCAGGGCCTACACATTGTCTAGAAACTTTTGTACTCAAGGCTAGTGGAGCCAACAGCTCCACTTTCTGTTTTTTCAGTGTTTATTTGGAGATAAGAATCTCACAGTCTTCCTGCCTGTGCTGGCTTTAAACTGCAGTCCTCAGATCTCACCTCCTGAGTAACTAGGATTACAGTCATGAACCATCAGCTCCCAGCAGCTATATGGATAGATTTGTTAAGCAGATAGGTTTTACCAAGTCTTTCCCTAAGTTGAGTGAGGAAGTTTCACAATGGAAGGATCTGGGTAAGTCTCACATGTGAAAGTCTACTTAGTTCAATTAAGTCAGAATTTCATATGGAATCATTTTACTTCCTAAGTGGGTAATAGCTTCACACATAATCTAAAGAGCTATCTCCAAACATGAACAATCAATGTAATTATCTGGAGGCAGTATTTATCATTCCAATAATGGAGCTGTCTTATCATCTTGTTCTACCTCTGATTGTTAGATTGTGTTGATTTAAGATGGAGGTAAAGAGCAGCTTTAGAATACAGTTCTCTCTCAGGAAAAGCTGTCGCCTTGTCTAGAATGTCTCATAAGATCTTCAGCTTGACAATAGGTAGGGTAATAACATCAAACTCGTTTGAGTTTTTGTGATTTCACAGCTTTCATTTGAGAAAATGAAGCATTCAAATGAACAACTGACATAATTTAAGATACACTGTAATGGGGACAAGTGTTAAAGAGACTAGACAAAGGAATTAAAAACCGTCTGTGAGACACTAAAAAAATTGGAAATTTGGTTTTAAGCCTTAATTTTAATTGTTTTCTGAACCTGAAAAGATTGTACAAAGGGTTTACAATTTGAGGTGTCCAACTAATCAAAATCACTCCTTCCATCTTCTCTCCCATCCTCTCTGCTCCCTCTCTAAATTCAATTCTCAATTCCCACTTACTTATCGCATGTATGCATTGAATTTTCTGGCCATATTTGTTCCTTCTCCCCTTTCCATTAATCTACATTCTCCCACTCTCCCCAACACCATTACCATCTCATTTCAGCTTCTGGTATTCATTTTGTTAACCTGTCTGTTAATTGTTCAAAAGTTTTACTCCATGGAGATTCACCGTTGTCTTCTTCATCTCCTTTCTTCATTATTCTTATTATTTTCTTTGAAGGAGCCTTTTATGGTCTTGATTAGGTTCCTCTCATTGAATTTTTTAATGTTATAATAAAGACCTTTTATTTCTTGATTTTTTCTCAACTTATTTATTAACTGCAAGGTAGAAAAGATATTAATTTTATATATTGATTTTGTAGCTTGCTTCCTTGCTGAAAGTTTATCAAATTGATGAATATTCTAGTGGAATTCTTAAAGTCTTTAAAGTGCAGTATTTTATTGTCCTCAAATAAGAAGTTTGATTTCTTTCCTTTCTATTTGTGTCACTATTATTTCTTTCACTTGATTTACTCATTTAGATAAGAATTCGATCACTGTATTAAGCAGGATCAGAGAGACTAGACATTGTGTCTCATTCCTGATGACTTGTTTTTTAAAATGGTCCATATATTTAATAAAATCTTTACCAATATTTCAATGGCATTCCTCACAGAGATAGGAAAAAACCCCTAAAGTTTATATAGAAGCACAAAATACACAATAAAGGAAAACAATCCTGAACAAATAAGTAAAACTGAAAAAATCATGACATGTATTCAAATCATAGTAGAGAGCAATGATCATAAGTGCAGAAGGATCCTGGAACACAGACATATAGATTATTGCAGTAGAATGGAAGATCCAAGAGTAAAGCACAATTCTATAGTCATATGAACCTTTACAAAGGTAAAACTGTCTCTTGAAGAAAACAATAATATTTTTAACAAATGGTGCTGTGACACATGATGTCTACATATAGAAGACTTAATTCTTAGTTTGGACCACTATCTCACCTGGTAAAAAAAAGTGGACCAAAGGTCTTAATGTATGACCTGTAGTGTCAAAGCAAGCTACTAAAGGGAAACATAGGAAAAGTGCTTCAAGGCATAAGGATAGGCTAAACTTTCTGTAGTATTCCAGTATCTCAAGAGATAATAGCAAGAAATGACAAATGGGATTTACTGAAAAGCAAAGGAGACAAAAGTGGGAAGACAGCCTATGGAATGGTGGAGGAAATGTCAGCTAACTACTTATCTGAAAAGGAATTCATATCCAAAATACAAAAGTAAACCCCCAAATTAAATAATTCAATCAATGGAAATTGAGACAGATGATATAAAAGAAGTAAAAATCATAAATACAAAAATATGTTCAATATCCTTAACTGTAAAATATGTAGAATTCAACAATGGCTCATTCTTGTAAATTATAACTATTTAAGAAACTAAGATTATGACTTTTGGACAGAGAGAACAGAAAAGTCCAGGAGACTCCATCTCCAATTAACTGGAAAAAAGCCAGCCTGGAGGCACAACTCAAATCAAGCAAGATGAGTGAGCATAAGGCCCTTTATTCCAAACTTAGAACCTAAAAAAAAAAACACCTTTTTTCCAAATAAAAAGAACATCAAGATTCTCTCTCTCACCAGTCAGTATGGCAGGTATCAAGAAAACAGCCAGTAATGTGTTTAAATAGGGTGGCTCATGCCTGTAAACCAGCTTTACTGGAGGAAAAGGTAGAAAGATCATGGTGTAGAGAGCACAGGCAAATATCCCAGGATCCTTTCTGAAAAATAAACAAAAACTCTGTGGGCATCAACAAGTGGTAGAGCACTTGTTTGAGGCTGAGTTTTTAACCCTAATATAGGGTCATAAGAGAAAAAGCAAACCCACGATATATTGTAAAATAATGTGGTTGTCAACATAATACTCCATTGGTAAGGATGAAAATTTGTCCACCTACTAGGGAAATCAGTATAAAGCTTCCATAAAAAACAGAAAATAGAACCACTGCAAGTTATCATATCCTAGATATA